TCAAATGTGGAAGCGGCACTCCGCACAATTCCCAAAATTCCAGCCGACCGTATCCGCTTTGACGTCGCTAAATGTCTTGATACAGCCAAAATCCCTACTTCCAATATATCTCGTGAGGAATTCATAGCTCTCAAAAATCTCCGTTCTCTTTCTGAGATAATAATCCTTCCTGCAGACAAAGGTAATGCCACAGTCATCCTGGATACTCCTTCCTACATAGAGAAAGTAAACGACTTACTTAGGGATACATCCTGTTATAATACAATTTCTCGAGACCCCACTCCTAGAGTCGAACGCGAAATTTCCCATGCCATCAAACAATCCGATCTTTCCGATGATGTTAAGAAGTCCATAGTTCCAAAAAACTCCATCTGCCCCAGAATTTATGGTCTTCCGAAAATCCATAAAGATAACGTACCTCTTCGTCCCATTGTGACTACGATTAACTCTCCTACCTACAAACTCGCAAAGTACTTGTCCAATCAGTTTAAGACCTATACTGGTCGTACCTCTTCTTATGTCCGAAATTCCACACATTTCATCACCTTAATCTCCTCTCTCACAGTCGATCCCCAAGATATTCTCGTCAGTTTCGATGTATCATCCCTATTTACCAATATCCCCATACATGACTCTCTAGTTGTTCTGCGAGATCACTTGACCAATGATAACAAGTCTTTGGTTTTGGCAGATCTTGCCGAAAAATGCCTCCTTTCAACATATTTTTCTTTTAGAGGCAATTTCTACAAACAAATATCTGGAACACCAATGGGTTCTCCCCTTTCCCCTGTCATTGCTGACATTTTCATGGAAGCCTTTGAGTCTTTAGCCCTAGAATCTTACCCCTTAAAACCAAAAGTCTGGTTCCGCTACGTTGATGATACATTTATCATCTGGCCCCATGGTCAACATACCCTTTCTTCCTTCCTAGATCATCTTAACTCACAACATCCGAGTATAAAATTCACAATGGAAGTAGAAAATAATCGGTCCCTTCCCTTTCTCGATGTGTTAGTCACCTCCAAGCCCAATGGCCGATTGGGTCACTCGTGTTTATAGAAAAAAGACTCACACGAATCGTTACCTACATGCTTCATCACACCACCATCCTGCCCAAAAGAATTCTGTGATCAACTCTCTCATCCATCGGGCCATTTCGATTTCTGAACCCGACAACCTTAGAGAAGAACTTGGCCATCTGCAAAAAACCCTTGTCGCCAATGGTTACTCCAAGTCCACAATTCAAAATATTACACACCGACATCTACATCCCCCTTTACACCCTAGGACAACAAATTCAGAATCTTCGGGTAATACTCCTGTGGCTTTTCTTCCGTATATTCGAAATGTCACTGATAGGATTGGCAAAATTCTTCGCAAAGAAGGTATCAGGACTACTTTTCGACCACCCAAGAAAATCTCACAATATCTACCCTCTCCTAAGGACCCATTACCGCCCCTATCTTCCTGTGGTGTCTATTCTATTCCTTGTTCATGTGGACATGTGTATATTGGCGAAACTGGTCGTTCCGTCAAAACTCGGATTCAAGAGCATCAAAGATGCATTCGATCAGGTCTTTTCTCCCATTCTGCAGTTGCCGAACACTGCCAAGAAACCGGTCATTCCATATTGTTCGAAAAAACCCATATTATTTCTAAGAGCCCCTTCTTTTATTCCAGGAAAATCCGCGAATCTCTAGAGATCCGAAAAAATCCCCATAATATCAATCGAGAGGAAGGATACTACTTGTCTCCCATCTGGAATCTCAGTCTAGAGCCACCGTCCAGTCCCGCCACCACATGATTGGCCAGCGCGCGCTTCTTGACGTTCGCGCCACGAAGTGTGCCGATACGTCCCGACACGACAGGCACCGCGACTATAAATAGAGCGGTAGCGGAGTAATCGTCGGATTCACTCCCCGCCTCTCGACGCGTTAGTGTTCTGAGCTGTTGGACGTGAATCCCTGTCCTGGCATTTGGTTTTCACCTCTGGCTGCGTTGAGTAGTTGAGTTACTGTGACCAAATGCCCATCTTGGTAGTTAGTATTCGCCTCTGGTTGCGTTGAGTAACTGAGTTACCGTTGCTAACTACCCATCTTCCTGTTCTTTTGTTTCTTTTTCTTCTTTTTCTTTTTCTTTTCTTTGTTTCTCCTGAAGAAGCTACATATAATTGTAGCGAAACGTCGAGATGAACCCACTTTTGGGTCACTCACAAATGACACGGTCCAAACCCGGAAGACGAATAAACTATAATTCTGACTCTGGCCGTGGAAGCCTACGATTTCATTTATTGGGTTTTGTTTGAAGAGCAAATAAATTCGATTGGTAAGTAATCAAATTTAGAAAGTCATTGTCGAAAAATTTTCTAAAATAATCTATGGGGTCTTTTATAGAAGTAGGTTTTGGTAAGCTGTAGTTCCACATTGGAGTAACACTGTCAGTATTGTTTTTTTTTCTGTTATATCGGTATATTCATTCTTATTTCGCGTACATTGTTCTTTTATTATTTCTTCACCACCATTACTAAGGTCTTCCTCAATTTCAGAACCAGAGTCCTCTTCTATTACCCATTCATCACTTTCATTTTCAGAATCAGAAACACTTAAATCACTATCACTTGGTATGTCAATGGCTTGATGCCGTTTTTGTCCATAAAATACAGCTGGATCCATTTTGACCTATTTTAGTTACTTGGCTCTATAACGCCGAATGTAACGATATCGTCACGTTTAAAACACGTGTTCAATCTTCAATTTACGACTGTTTATAGTGATAAGCATGAACTATCCATATACTACACCGAACTTTTCCCGGTAAACATTCACTGATTTTTTCGAAATCAAAATTACAGTTAGCTATTAGCATCAGCCAACTTGTATCCTTATTTGTTTCGAGAAGCATGCGGTAGAAAAATTGGCCGGAGTGTGTCGCAGTGACTGTTTCAGTATGAGGCATAATATTATGAATTCGTAACTTTTGGCATCGATGAGATTAGGTTAATAGTTTGGCTACAAATCGCTTTTGATTGGAACGTTACGAAAATGTCACACTCATCCTTAGAGGATTAATAATGGGAAGAGACATAATTATATTCTCTGACATTGTAGTAAAAAATGATTTATTTCTTCTAGAGGTAGATCAGGTTATACCGAACTGGATCTTGTATTGTTTCTTTTGAAATTTACTATTTTTTAGCAGGCTCTAGGTTTATTATTGGAATTAGTAATATAATCACAGTAAGCCGACTTTTTAGCATTTTGTGATTGCCGATTATATTCAAATTTTTGTTGCTTATGTACTTTAAACAAATCAGTTATTAGTATAATACTCTGTTATTTTGGCATGAATTGGTGGAATACCTAGACTTCTCCTGATATACACATTTTTAATTTTACCCTTTTTGTTATTCCACTCATCCCTATAAGCGTTTTCAATTCCGGTACATGCAGTCGTTATTTTTTTTCCTTTTTAAGTGTCCAATATTCAGTACATTCAGTACATCATAGTTGGTCTTAAGGTAATTTAACAGAATTTTAGTTTCAGTTTCAGTTTTATTGCAATTTTTCTGTTACACCACACATAACTTCACACTATTAATAGATTTCATCCTAACTCTTCATTATCTATCATATATTTCCCCATTACTTTATAACTAAATAATTAATAATTATAATTAAATAAATATTAATTAAATAATATCAGTACCAGTAATAAAATCAACGAAAACTGCCAAAAAGAATTTTTCACAAGCACGTAATTTTTATTTATACATCTGACAACTTTGCTTTACTAACAAAACTCACGAAACTGGAAACACAATTTCAATATAATCAGTAATAAGATTAAGAGAGATAATACATAAGATTTTCTTTTACATAAACTGCAACTCCGTCTTGTTTTTTACCTTACAAAAGAAATTACGTCATATAAATTTTGATCCACAAGAAAAGCATTGATTATATTGACTTTATTTAAAATACACTGCAAATTAACATAAAACATGCTTACCGTACCTTGTGGAATTAGTTTATTTTGATAAAAGTTTGTAGAAACTTCTGAGTTTTTTCCTCCGTCTTCTTTATGTGCTGAAATGTCTTTTGAAGTTAAATCTCCTAACCGCAGCTTCTTAGGGTCAAATATTACGTCTGTAGACTTTTGTCAATTTTATCGAAAGGGAAAGATACCTTATATGTAGAGTATTTGTCAGTTATATGCCATTCCGCGCAGTTAAAAGTAATATCCGGTACCATCTCACCCAAGAAATTTAGATCATCGGCTTTCATATCAACACCTATGCGGAATACATGTACATGACCTTGTCTAGCAATAGACGATTCGTTGCTTCCAATAATCGGTTTGTATTTGTTTTCTTTTTTCGATTGGGTATTCCAAAATGAGTGTCCTGTTTTTAGACTGTTTTTATTTTCTTTTTAGGTATCACTCATGTATGAATGAAGTCGACTTGTGTTTTTGTTTAATGACAATTTAATGGGTTCTTGACTGGTAGAGCCTGAATTGCTCGGCCCTGCTTTATTTACAGTTTTTTTTTTCGCTAGATGACGTTAATATGGGTATGGCTGATTTTTTATTATATTTTATCTTTTAATAAGGAAATTAAATCTTGTTGCTCCTCCGTACGATTTTCTAGATGGAATGATCATTTATTTACTGCTGTAAGTTCACTTTTCATTTTACTTCGTTCCTTGTTTGTCTTTATACACTGATCACACACAATAACGTCTTTGTATTAATATCTTTTTGTACTGTTAGTGTTGATCTATTAACGTACTCTGATAACTGAGGAGTTGAAACGGACAGTGGTAACTTATGGTAAATTCACTATTATGTCAATTAGTTCCTGCTTTTTTAGCTTATTTAGTACCGTTGTTAAAATTGCGACTTGATTATCGGACGCCATATTGGACACAATAAACTTGATTAGATATTTATTATATAATATTGATATTTACTTGTTATTGACTTACCTTTTAATATTTTAGTTACAATCCCCATTAAACGTACCATCCCCCTTGAAGGAAGCAGACTGGCATACTACATTACAGAAGAAACTATTCGCAGATTCAGTAATAACAGACTCTCAGGTAATTAAATACAAACTTACATTGATGATAATAGCTTATATCTACTTTTGCCAACATATAGTTCATTTATATTAAGTTTAACTGTTTACTTGTTAGGCTGAAGCTATGGATCAGTTATGTTCTGACAAATTTCCTGCCTCTTGGATGTACAAGAGAATTCAAATGAAGAAGTGACTGAAGATAACTCTGAACAGCAAAACGATTCTGGAGAAATGTCTTCATCGACAGAACCGACCACCCAGGATCTTTTGAATGCCAGTTCGGGAGATTGTCAGGATCTGCCTTCCACGCAGGATCTTTTGAATATATGTTCAGGAAAATTTACAGGAATTTCGCAGGTATATCTTCCTTTGTCCATACTTTAAGTCTAGTACAAAAGTTTTATAAAGAAATCTGTCAGCGTGTGTTCGATACCAACGCGTTAATATTTTCTTTACAGTAGATCTATTGGCCATTATTTCTTAGATTTTTCCTTAGTATTTGAGATCTATTGAAAAATCGTATCAGTTTAGATATCGCATGCTTTTTGTTCATTTGTCTTTGTTTAGCGGAAATTCTTTCGATTGTTCAACCGTTTTAAAGGATTTTCATCTGGTTTGTATTTTTCTTAAATTCCTTATTTCTTAACTTACGATTTTTGGATTCTGTTCTCGTGTTTCGATATATTTTGTACTTTATACACTTTTACATTGTTCTACAAGTGTTTTTAAACGGTTAAACGCATTTAGACTATATTCTACATGTTTCTACATTTATATTCTCTATAAATGCCTACACATTTCTGCAATATTCTACGTGTTTTTGCATATTTTCAAGTTTTTATACGTTTCCATTCCAATTACAGTAAGACCCCTCATTTTTATAGAGTACCGAAAGTTTCATAAAACGAATATATCACTGAGACCTATTTGTAGTACCATGAATTCTCCTTGTAGTGAACTGTCAAATTTCTTTGTAAATATATACAATCATTTGCCATAAAAATGACACATTTATAAAAAATACACAACATTTTCTAAATAAATTATCGAATATTGAATTTAATTCAAATAATATTTTAGCAAGTTTTGACATAAATAGTTTATTTACAAATGTGCCATTAGATAAGATTTTGAACATAATCAAGACTAATTCACATGCTAAGAAGTTTTCACCAACTAACAAAAAACAAAATTTGTTTAATTTATTACTGTTTGTAGTTTGTGAAAGATTTCCCGAGAAGAAAGGAAATTGAAACGTCAATGAACTTATACTAAACTTTATTTGTAGCTTATTCCCATTAAAATAGTAATTAGTTTAAGATGCCACAAGCAAATAGTTTCATAGCAATATTAAGGTTATTTAAGTGAATTCTTATGATTTCGTCTGACAAAGAATTGATTTCTCTACATATTTGTTTTCCCAGTGTTATTATTTTACTTCTAAACTGTTCTCTGTTTATATTTGTTATTATATTTCCAGTTGATTTACGTGATGAAATTAGCAATTTTAATGCCTGGATTTGTCCTGGATGTCCTTAAACATGTTTAAGGACATCTACACTCATGATCAGTGGCATTACAGCTCGTCATGAGCCAAAGTCTTCTTCAGAACAATGTTCCATTCGCCCCTGTCTCTGGCAACTCTTCTCCATGCTTTAAATCGATGGATTTTAGATCATCCTCTATGTTATCTTGATACCTAAGTTTTGGTCTTCCTCTGGATCATCTTCCCACTGGTCCTTTTTTATTACCTATATTATTATTATTAAACTATTATAAAATTATTATTAAACCTAATTACATCTCCTATCCATCGTAGGTGTTCTAATTTGATACAGTTTACAACGTCAGGTTCCCCAAAACTTCTGTATAACTCAAAGTTGTAGCGCCTACGCCACAAACCCTGTTCTTGGACTCCTCCATATATTTTCCTTAGAATTTTTCTCTCGAAACGTTTAAGCAGTTCTTGGTCGTTCTGTGTAAGTGACCACGTTTCTGACCCGTATGTTAACACTGGCCTTATTAGTGTTTTATGTATGGTAATTTTAATTTTTCTGGGTAGTTTTTGGGGCCATCTGTTTCCTCAAGCCATAATAGCACTTATTGGTAAGCATTATTCTTCTTTTAATTTCTTCGCTGACATTGTTGTCTTTGGTCAGCAGCGAGCCCAGGTAGACGAAGGTGTCCACACCTTCTAGTTCAAGATCATCAATTAATAGTCTAGGTATGTGGTTTCTTGATCTAGTACAATACATATACTTGGTTTTCTATGCGTTTATTTTTAATCCCATTCTCAATGCAGACGTCCTTAATGATCGAAATGCTTCGATCAGATCAAATTACCAATTTTAATGGCTGGATTTAGTGATCACCTAAACCTTCATCCTTCTATTTCTCGTAGGAACAGTTTTTTTGTTTAATTACTAATTTTTGTGGTAAACTCTTTTGCATCATGTCTATATTAAAGTCGTCAAATATCCAGATTGGTATTGTTTGGTTCATAAACATGTTTAAGGACATATACACTACTCCCAAAAGATCATTATGATGGAAATCATGAATTCTGTATACTCCTCCCACTTTCAAAGGCTTATCAATCTGTAAGAAAAGAAAAGTATCGGAGTATTTTGTGTTATATCTATAGACTTCAGAATAATCGAAAACAGTCTTTAATAAATTTCCCAAAACTTTCAACTTCCTTATCGCTACACACATACATTGCACTATATCCATTCACATTAAAATATGCTTCTTCACCTGATCTCAACCAATGTTTTGCCACTACAATTACATCCCGCATATTTAACTTAACTACCAATCCTTCCAGATCTAGAATTTTGATTCCTTGCTGATTGAGCATTTAAATAAAGTTTAAAGTAAGTTTAAACTATTGTCAAAAATGTCACATTTATATATAATATAATAGCTATTGTTACATTGATAGTATAGTTTGCGTCAGACGACCAAAAACACTCATTCTCCAATGATATTTACGAAATAATTATAATTTACAAATACTCCTTTTATGTTATAGGTATTCAATGTTGAACCTTCCAAAAATTTAGTAACTCATAAATTGGACGCGATTGACGAGGATAAAAATTTAGGAGAAGACCAAGACATGATTATATCTCAGCTAATGAACGAAGAAGAGTTGGAGGCGTTCAAAAGAAAGTTTGATTCTCCGGTGATTACACATTCTCAGAAAGTCATTCAGTCTCCAATGGAAGAAGAAATAACTGCTACTGGTGGTGTAATTGATTCTGATGATGATGACAACATATTAGAAGTGAAGAAGAGGAAGAAAAATCAAAAGAAGCTTACATTTTCAGGTAAAATATAGACTGTTGCAGTTATTACTGTTGTACATTCTATGTATTTTGTAGAATTAACTTTAAATTTTCGTAAAAAATACATATTGCATATTTTTTGTGTAGTCCTCTGGATCCTTCTTTCATAATTATTTCACCTTGTTTTGGAAAGATTTCCATATTATGTTTTGTTTCTACATCTGAACTCTTTCGAATGGGCATATTTGTTTCTAAATGTCTTTCATTTAACGTTGCTTCTACAGTATTCTACATGTTTCCAAAGATTTCTATAAGTTATTGTTTATATTTCCTCTTTTGTCATTAAGTTTTTCACAATTTTTATTAGATTTTGGCCTCTTACTAATTTGCGTTTTATTTTTTAGATGACGAAAGTTCAGAAGATGAAAAAGAGGAGGAAGAGGAAATCGATTTACATGATGACATTGAAGAGGATGACGATGACGCTCCTGCAGATATAAATTATGATTCAGAAGAAAATGAAGTGGAGTATACCGAGGAAAATGGTATTGATTTCGTTATTAAATTCGTTCTAGTTTGGTACTCAAACATAAGCAGTTAAACTAATGGTCTTTATTTTTTTCATGCTTTATCTTGACTCTATATCTTAATTGGAATATCCTTTTATGTTTTACATGGTGATTTGATGTTTGCTTCTCTGATTGGTGTGTGGTATATGTGCCGTACCAAATTTTCAGGTCGACACCATCTTAAATACGTTTAACTCTTTTAATGACAAAATACAATTTATTGTTGAAAGAGGAACTAACAATAACCTACCTTTCTTGGACATTAAAGTTATCCACACAGAATAATAATATAATTCTAGATTGGTATCAAAAAACTACTGTATCAGGCAGATTTCTAAACTTTGCTTCCAACCACTCAAAAAACCAGAAATACAGTACAGTTCTTGCTATGAAAAATAGAATACTCAATATATGCGACGACCAGTTTCTAAGTAACAGTCAGAGCAAATTACTTGAGATATTTCTTAACAACTGTTATCCGAAGACACTCTCTAAACAATTGACTTACAACTCCCACTCTTATGATGGATAATTTGATAGAGATGCTCCACAAAACTTTAAATACAAAAGATTGCCCGTCGTTGATAATCTAACACATAAGATTAGCCCTCTTCAAACCATACACTAATATCAGAATTGGGTGGTACAGCGGTTGTAATAACAAAAGTTTGCTTTCTCGTGTTAACGATAAGACACCAGTAATGTACACTACCCATACAATCTACAAAATACCGTGTTTAGGCTGCGAAGGTTGCTATAATGGACAGAAAAGCCAATAGTTAAAACAACGTATTACCCAGCATAAAAGTGACTTGTATATATCAGAGTTGTTTGAAGATAACAGAAATAATATTGCCGAATTCTACTAAAACTGTACTGGCAGCCCAGAAATTATGAAATACGAGGTAAAACACGCTATAAATAATGCTAAAATTAGAAAAGCTTGTGGTCCAGATGATACACCAACTGAGCTGCTGAAACTAATAGAGAATGATAACATAAAAGTATTTTTAATTCAATATATAACATCGTAGTGATTCACGCAGATTGGCTCAAATCCATCTTTGTCACAATACCTAAAAAACACAATGCGAGAAAATGCTCAGAATATCGATTAATTAGCCTAATGAGCCACACTCTTAAAATTTTCCTCAGAATACTTCACAACAGAATTAGACGCAAATGCGAAGAAAATCTTGAAGATACCCAATTTGGTTTTAGAAATGCTATGGGAACCAGGGAGGCACTTTTTGTGCTTAATATTCTATTACAAAAATTCCGTGACCAAAGAAAAGATGTATTTGCATGTTTCGTGGACTTCGAAAAGGCATTCGATAAAGTACAGCATGTAAAATTAATGCAAATACTGAAAAATATCGGAATAGATGACAAGGATATTCGTATCATTAAAAATTTGTACTGGAATCAAACTGCTATCGTAAAAATTGGAGATAACTACACCGATGAAATCCCCATACAACGAGGAGCCAGACAAGGTTGCACTTTGTCGCCAACATTGTTCAATGTTTACTCAGACCAGTTATTTAAAAAGGCACTTGAGAGATAACCATATGGAATAAAAATCAAAGGGGAACTACTTAATGTGATTAGATATGCAGACGATACTATAATTCTATCAGATAATATTGAAGATCTTCAAATTCTGCTTCATCGTATTAACGAGGTACGAGAGGAAATGGTCATTAAAATAAACTCAAACAAAACCCAATGTTTAGTGTTTAGTCATGACCCATATCCCGATGCAAAGCTTCAATTGAACGGAGTCCAAGTTGAGAAAGTTCACAAAATGACATATTTGGGAACTGTGATAACGGACCAACTAGATCCAGAGATAGAAATAAAACGTAGAATAGCAATGACTAAAACTACTTTTATGAAAATGAAGTCATTTCTTTGCAATAACCATCTCAGTTTAGAACTAAGGCAAAGAATGGTTAAGTGCTATGTTTGGTCTATACTTTTGTAGAGTGCAGAAGTGTGGACGCTAAAAGTATCGATTATGAACAAAATTGAAGCATTGAAAATGTGGGTTTATAGACGAATGCTGAAGATACCTTGGACAGCAAGAAAAACTAATGAAGAAGTACTAAGGAGCGTCAACAAAGATAGAGAACTGCTAACGACTGTTAAACATCGAAAAATGTCTAATCTGGGACATATAGTAAGGGGAAGTCGATATAAAATATTACAACTGATCCTTAAAGACAAAATAGAGGGCCGTAGAGGTGTAGGAAGAAAACAAGTTTCTTGCTGAAGATCGAGAAGCCTTGGCAATGGTGATCGCCAACGTCGGATAATTCTGATATGGCACGCGAAGAAGAAGAAGAAGAGAAGTGACTTCCATAAAGGCAACATGCGCTGTTGTCGAACACTTCATCAACACAGGTCACAAGTTTGAATATACTAATGTTGAAATCCTAAAACAGTACAACAGTAAAACTAATTATAAAAATAGGCTGTTTCTCGAAATGTGTTTTATTACCAACACAAAACATGTAATAGATTACAAAGCAGATACGAATCAGTTCAGCAGCATCTACAGCAATATTCTGCAATCCATTTAATTTAAAATTAATTTACCATGTACCTGCTACTTCTTTTTCTTCTTCTTTCTTGTATGTAGGCTTTAAAGCCTGTTTCTTCTTCAATATTAGCCTCCTAAATTGTTTAACTATCGCACCATCTTTTTTTTTGGTCTGCCAATACTTCTTTATCCATTTGGTGACTTATCTCGTGCTATTCGTACTATTCTATCCTCTGCCATTCTGTTATGTTCTGTTATGTTTTCGCTTCTTTCCCTATCCAACAGACTTTTTCCTGATATTCGTCGGAGTATTTTCATCTCTGTTGTTTCTAGTAGTCGTCTCGTTTTAGATGGGTCAGGTCTTGTCTCCGCCGTGTATGTTAATATAGGTCTAATTTTTGCTTCATAGATTCTTGTTTTGATGTATTGTCTTAAGTGTTTGTTCTTACAGATTGTGTCATTAAGAGATCCCGCCGCTTTACTTGCTTTTAAGCTTTGTTATCGTACTTTTTCTTCAATATCTCCGTAACTAGTTATATTTATTCCCATATATCTAAACATTGCTTCCTGCTTTATTATTTTTCCATCAATGTCGATTTTACATCGTGGTGGGTATTTAGATGTTGTCATACATTTTGGTTTTTCTGCTGATATTATCATATTGTATTTCTTTGCTATTATATTGAAGATGTGTGTTAATCTTTGGAGCTCTTGGAGAGATTAGGCGATTAGTGGGGCGTCGTCTGCATAACATATTATTTGGATTTCTTTGTTCCCCATTCTGTAACCATGACCTTTACGTACTGCTTGTATTATATCGTCCATTATTATATTAGAGAGACGTGGGCTTAATGAGTCACCCTGTCTGACTCCGTTCTGTACTGATATACTCTGTGTTAGTTTTCCTTTTATATTTGCCTGTATTCGATTATGAAAGTAGATGTTTTCGATAGTTTGTATAATATTGATTAGTTTCTTTTATACAGTAGGTGTAAGACGTCTTTAATCTTTCAGCGCGCGCGCCTACGTAAATTTTATGACAATTTAACAAAATAGTGTATGCCACTGTTATTCTAAATTTAGTTGCTGCCTAACACTTTTCTATTCTTAGAATGATCCGTTAGGTACGATGTGGCAGGTAAATTTGGTTGGTTGGATACTGAATTTAGTTGTTGTGAGACATTTGAATCAAGATGAACGGTCATCATAAATTTTATAGCGCGCGAGTTTTGGAGTAATTATTTTTATTTATGTAAGTATTATGATCTTAGACAATCTTATTTCACTTATTTGCATTATGCATCAGATTTTAAGTTTAGATATCAAAGAATAATAATAATATTGATATTGAAGTTTGTTTTTTTTTTTCAGATAAACCAAGAAAATGTCTAAACGTCCTTTGTCAACAGAGGAGATTGCTTATTTAGCTGAGAATTTATGGGATGAAAACGAAAACTAATCAGATCACGCTGTGTCTGGTGATAGTGATTTGTCTGAAAAGTATATAGAAGAAGAAGATGTAGATAGTTGTTCTTAAGACGGATTATCCGATGAAGAATCAGTAACAGCTTCACTTTCTGACTATTATGTAGCAAAAGATAAAACTACCAAATGGTACAAAATGAGAACGGCAACTTCATCTAAGAAAAAAAAAATTAACACTGTAAAAGAGCAGCCTGGTGTCACTCATAGAGCCCGAAATATCAATAATGAGCAAGAAGCCTTTTCGGAAATAATAGACATTAACATGATCGAGAGTATTATATGCTGCACTAATAGATATGTTGCTGAAATAAGCAACATATCTATTATCAAGTATATTCAAGTATATTCAGTCAAGTATATTCTAGAGAACGAGACTGCACGGATATAAACAGAAACGAGTTTATGGCATATTTAGGGTTGCTGATTTTGATTGGGATAAAAAAATCGCATTTTGCAAATGTCAGAGAAATTTTAGCAAGCAACGGAACAGGAATTGAGCTAACAAGGGCTGTTATGAGTTACAAACGATTTTTGTTTATACAAATTGCTTGAGATTTGATCGCACAACCAGATTTGAACGCCGCAAAATTGACAAATTGGCTGCAATCCGTGACTTTTTTATGCATTTGTGACTATATTCAAACATCCTTCAAACTTGGTGCATACGTTACAATAGGCGAAATGCTTCACCCTTTTTGAGGTCGTTGCAGTTTGGTGCAATACATACCAAGCAAACCAGCAAAATACGGCATCAAAATGTACGCTTTATATGATACAAAGACATGTTATACTTCAAATTTAGAAATATATTGCGGGAAACAGCCCGATGGTCCGTACGTTACATCCAACTCACCAAATAGCAATCGAAATCAAAAAGCAAAAAGCAAAAAATATCACTTTAGTTGGAACTTTGAAAAAAAATTAAGGCAGAAATTCCTGCAGGATTTTAAGCTAACAAGTAAAACGTTACTAAAAGTTGTCTTTTTGGATTCCAAAAAGACATGATGCTTCTGTCTTTTGTGCCTCGCAAAAACAAAGCTGTAAGTCTGCTTTCAACTTTCAACACGATAACCATTCATCCAGACACTAAAAAACCACATGTAATTATGGATTATAATGCAACTGGGGGGGGGGGGGGGGTGTTGATACGGTGGACAAAATGTGTGTGCAACATATTCGGCTTCTCCCATCTCCAGCAGATGGCCGGCCTTGTGGTGTTATATTTTACAGTTTATTGGAGATAAGTGGAATTAATGCGCAAGTTTTATATAGATTTTCTTGACCTGATAATTACCCAAAAGATCGAAGAATTTTTTTGAAAAGTCTAATGAAAGAGCACATTGTTTGAAGAGCTCAGCTAACCAATTTATTCTCAGATGTGGGCGCATTTATAAAAGTCAGATATGGACAAACTGTAAATAAACACGAGGAAACAGTTCGTCTTCCAAAACGTGGAGTTTATCGTTCTTGTAACGCGGAAAGAAAAAGGACAACGGCATCCATGAAATGCGTTAAATGTAATTATTTTACTTGCAAAAAACATTCACTTACTATAATTATGTGTAACTCCTGTAATACAAACAGTCAGGATGATAGTTTTTAACTGTATATTGATTTATTTGTTTACCTAGACTAAAAAGTGTAATTTTTGTTTTATTTTGTAAAATTTGCAAATAAATATGTTTTGTCATTATTATTTATAATATATTTATGTTTTTTAATTTACATTCAAGAAATATGAGATAACTCACGTTTATCCAAAATACATAAAAAATATGACACGCGCGCTTTGATGTAAAAAATATGGGCGCGAGCGTTGAAAGGTTAACTTGGATGCGATCGAAAGCCTTCGTCAGGTCTATAAAACATTGATCTGCTGGTTTATTGTACTCTATGGCCTTTTCTGTTATTTGTCGTAATACAAATACGGCGCCTACGCAGGATCTTCCGGATCTGAATCCTTGTTGTTCATCTGTTGTTAGTTTATTAATTTTGTTGGTGAGGACTTTTGTGCTAAGCTTGAGTGCGAGATTTATACCTCTATAATTCCTCTAACCTCTATCAAATTCTAAGCATAGTTCTCTCCATTTTTCTTTGAGCGACCTTTAATTTATGTACCGAGAGTGAAGACGAAGATATCTAAACTACACCCCTTCCATTATTATCGCTACATATTCTTTAAAAAAAAAATAGTCTCTCAACCGAATTGCTAGACTCCTATTACACTGGATATTTCCTTTTTTAGGATCCAAACCTTTAAAAATGGCCGATTTCTTCGAGAACGAAGCCGAACTCTCTGAGTCAGAATGGGGTAGTGCAGACGAAGACGAGAGAGACTTGGATACACTGAGGTCGAAACTGGAGACGCCGAAAAAATTGATGAGAAGCAGATGAAGGCTGATCTGGAACGGATACATTTGAGGAGAATGTTAGATGATGATACACGAGAGGTACATATTGAACTAATCGACTTAATATTTTATTACTATTTTTTTTTTCGTTTTTATGTGACATGTGATAGTATAACATGTGTAGGAAGTTCCTTGATCTTGTAGGCATATAGCCATGCTTTTAGTTGATAATTCTGAGGGTAGTTTTTTTACCATCAGGATATTATCAAATTTTGATTGTTTTGTGTGTTCATGTATTGTGTGTTGTATACATGGAAATATATAATATAAACGACTAATTATTTTCTTATTTTTTAGGTAAAATTACTTCAAGAATTGTTACTCGAAGATGGAGAGCTCCAAGGTAGCGGCAGAGAAAGGCAGTTCCGATGGAAGAACATCGATTCTTTAGACATGACAGAAGAAGAAAAGAAGAACAGCGACGATGAAACCGGCGGCTTCGACGAAAACGAAAGCGAGGAAATATGGCGTCGAAAGCGCCACGAAAGGGAAATGTTTTTAAAGGAAAAACAGTCTCAAGAGTTCGACGATGACGACATTGATCTTCTGAGTGGAAGTGAAATTTTAAAAATTGGACATAAAGTTTTACAGAGGAGTTTAAGTAATTCACAGGGGAATCAGGCTACTGAGAAGAGTATTGCTAATGAGAATAGCCCTATAGTTAAGACTACTTTCAGTTTAGTGGTAAGTTCGTTAGTGAATTTAATAACAACCACTCTATGGATCGAAATAATTTCGAAAAACTCGTCTTCTTCCTCTTAATTTAGTACTAAGTCTTGTTTATTCTTACAACTAAGTCTTGGGACTCTGGAATGTAATGAGTATTACAGACCAATTTTTGCTATCCTCTTATCGGCCATTCTAGTGATGCGAAAAAGAGTTATAAACAGCATCCCTGAAAAGGGAAAAGCTGAGGAAGAAGATTACCAAAAGAGGTTAAATTCCGCAATTCGCAATGGATTGATTTTTCGTCTGTTCCATTTGGTCTGTATTCCACCTTGTTGTCGTCATCATTGTTATCCATCCTATCTGAGGCTTCGTTGTAATTTCTGTGAGCAAGGATCCCTTCCTCATTTGTAAGGAAAATTTCCTCACGAAAAAACTCTGTAGTGAGGTTTTTTTTGCACAACATCTTCCTCCTCGTTCCATGAGCTCTTGTCAAGACGTGGTGACATTCTAATAGTATTGATTTGTTGTCTCAGATGGATGGTTTGCTGCATGTAGGGATTTTCCCACCAGTCTTCATTTGGTCTGCCCATCGCGTTGGATTATATAACATATATATTATATAAGACCTTTATAGTAAAATTTTGAGTTGTACAATTAAAGACCCATTAAAACATTCTTTACAGCTGTTAAAAAGTCCTTTAAAGACGGTTACAAACTGTTGTTACAAATTCCGTATAAATTGCTGCTTTTGGAGCAGTAACATTAATTCTGTTCTCGTGTTCCATGAAATACAGTCATACCTGTATATACACATTCTGTTCTTAAAGTCCCAAGTACGATAGTCTCACCGCGATTCACTTATTTTTCCTTCACCGCGCATTATTATACAAGCAGACATAACAAGAGTTTACCTTTTTAATTTAAGTACTTTTTTTCTATTTTTCTAAGTACAATATATTTTTTTTTGTCATTAATAACATTTTTTTTTAGCATAAACGAGGTTCTTTTCTAAGTCGTGGCGAAGAGGTCTTGCAGCGGTTAGCAGAATACAACAAAATTTCGACTACAAGCGAGGTCATTGCTCAGAAAGCCAAAAACTCGAAGAACTTTTTGTTTCAAACTGTAGAGGTTAGAGAAGCCACCGAAAAATTGACTATTTTTGTAAGTATGCTTTAAAGTTTGGTATAAATTATCATTTAATAAACATTTTGCCAGATTTTAGATTGAAAGTGAAGGATATTTGTGTTGTTTAGATGCGTATTAGACAGCCAGAAAGAAATCTCTAAAGCTATTTAGCGCTGTGGTAAATTTTAGCAGTCTTTGCATAGTTGTTTCTCTTTTCTTCCATCGAATGGTATTCGAATAAGTAGCAAATGCGGGTTCAAACCTGATTTTCTGTCCTCCAGGTTGTCTTCAGTTTAACACTATTTGATGCCAAAGATGTTAGATGATAGAAATCCGAGAAGACAGTAAAGAGTATAGAGCGCAGGAATCTTGAATAGAAAAATCCCGCTGTGCTATTAAAACGTCAGTGTTGTGTTAAATATCTAAAATGCGTAGCATAATAACAAATAAAGAGAAATTCCTTTACTAAAAATGTAATACTTTCCAAAAACAAATATCTGCATTCATGATTTGTAGTGCATAAAGTCCACCTGGACTTTAAAAAAGAATGCCTGTTGTCTCTCTCTCTCGCTTTCTCTCTCTCTCTCTCTCTCTCTCTCTCTCTCTCTCTCTCTCTCTCTCGATTCTACTTCGACGCCCTCTCTGAACTCACCAACGTTCTTGGGATCTCTTACTGTGCAGTGCACTACTGCCACTTCTATTCTGAGATTGTACTTTTGTGTCGTCGATGGTGATATGGTAATAAGTGCAGGTAGCGCGAAGATTCTTGACTGCCGAATCTGGGCTACCTCCTCGATAGAATTCATTCGGATCCGTCATCTCTATTATTGAGACAATTAGGTCGTTTTTCTATCTTAATGGCTTCTCCGATAAGCCTTCGATCATAGAGAAAAATGATTGCTATGGTTCTGGAATTTTCAAACTTAATTGTGTGAACAAAAATCAAACTGAAATCTTCGGTAATCACTAATATTGCCTAGTCCGTTTCTGATTATGAACGTTTTTTTGCACGTCTTGGAAAGCTATCATCCATTTGTGTACCATTCTATCACTCTATATGTTTTGTGCATACTCTTTACAAATCTAACGGGTGGATATTAAGTGCATTCAAGCATTTATCACTTAGAAAATGATTAACAGTCCGCGGGATTCTGAATCGGCTGAGACATATGTGGCTTACCAACAAATGGAGATACATAATACACATTACATTTTTTTATTGTCATGTTTTAGATTGTGCAAGTTAAAAGTATCTAAATACAATATGTTTATTTTTAGAACAAACGAAAAGCTGCAGATGCTACTCCACGAGCTATAAAGAAGTTAAGATTGACTGATAATTTAAGTCCCGCAATAAAGAGGAACAAGAAACCTGACAAACCAGACGTCAAGGCCAAACTGTTTGGTGTTTCCTAGCAGTTATATTTATTTTTATTATTAGTAAGACAAAAATATTTATACAGTCTGTAATATATTTTAATATTTTGATAATCTTATTTTTTTTTTCTTGTTTTTTTTCGGTAAGCCGCCATAATAACTTCGCTTACCATTTCTGCTGCCGAATTTATAGCCTCTACCCATTTAAATAAGTTAATACTTTCCCCGAGATTTCTACTGAAGAACCCTCTATATCCTACCCAGTTTGTACCTCTAGGATTTCTCTATTTAATACCTGATGGTAATATATTAAAGTCAAATCGTATATGTCTGTGATGCGAAGATGAGGATTCATCAAACACATACCAATTTGTTAATATATCACTTCCGCTTCTGCAAAGTGTTAAATTCAACATTTCTTTGCGTACTCATAGTGACAAAAGTTGGTTTGTTTCCCATGTTGGATATAATTAAACCTTCAGATAAGACGAAATTCAAAATAGACTCACTCTTTGCGTTAATGTTTGCGCTCCGCGTATGGTGTGGCATTGGCATCACATCATAATGAGCTGTAATCATTTTCCTAGACAATATGCAACTATGTCGCTTCTAATGCTTAGTGGAGGTAGAGCCTCATCACCGGAAAATAGGCTGAGCACACCACAGGTTGCTTCTGTCCAGTTACGTGGTTATAGAATTAGAATGCTGTGTCAATATTATCGGTGCAGAGGATTAGTATACAATTTACTCTATTACTGTGAATTGTACACAACCTTGGCTTTATGCTGTACGTGTGTATAAAACCTTACTTTGTTTAGTTGATAAACCAGCAAGCAATCTTCTCGCTTATCCGCTAGCGCTCCTGCAGGAAGCCCACATCAATGCCTTCTTGTTCCATTCTTCTAACTAACCAGCTCTGCCGATGCGACTTTTGTGTTAAAGATTGGTCTGCAGGAGCCTTATTTATGTCTTTACTACGAAGAGTTTTTTAGTTCTGGTTCCGTGGAATTTCCTTGACTTTTGTGGCTCCAACACACTTAAACAGTAGTCCCTATGAGTTGGATGATTCCACCTGAAGAAGGTTGTTCCTCTTCCTGAACTTCCATATGTACGGAAGTTTCCCCTGTTTTACTGGAGCGAGTTGCTTCTGGCTTTTTTTACCGTGTTTTTCTTTTCCATTCCTTGGATCGGAAAGTTAACTTTTTCACTCAGAAAAAGGGTGACTTTTGGAGTTTCTAGAGCTCTTTTCGAGATTTAGAATCCACTGAGAAGGTCCATAAAACCCCCTTGTCTGAAGGTTTGCTATCCCAGACTGCCATAAATGTGTCCTGAACCCATGGTTACTTATTCTTAGACTATTAATAATCTTTTTGGACTCTAGACGATCACCATCTGCATCTGACAAAAACCAAAGTGCGATTGGCTTATGGTACTTCTTCTATTAACTATTATTTCTTAATTCTCGGAACTTGTAGTTAGAACAATAATTGACACTAGTAGTTGGGACAAATCGAATACTGAGTCGAAGTCAAGAATTATTTTAAAAGCAATTAAGATCGAATAACATCACTATTGTCTGAACATAGGAAAACTGTGTCAATTCAGCTTCACAAATCTTCACTCCATCCCCCAACTGGTTACATCACCGTCGATTATAAAAATACTATCTTAAAATCAACAATAGTGGAGTATATAGTGCCTGTGATTGTAGTAGTGAAGAGACTATAGAACTGTACGCTTTTTTCCAAACCTTTTTCATGTTTTTAAAGCCAATTGTAAATAATTTTTGATCAATATTTAAAATACGGAAGATTATCTTTCTTTAACAAGCTTTATTTTATTTTGTTATAATACTCGTAGCTGAAGTTATCTATATTTATCATCCCCATTAGCTCCGCGGCTCAGATTTAGCCTAGACTTGTTTAATTAATTCTCTCTACTCCTTTGTATTCCCTATCCATTGTCTATGTCGATATATCACAAAACATTCTGAGAATTTTCTCGTCTCTGGTCTGTCGTTAAGAGTTTCTAGTTATTGCATTTGTCTTGTTTGCTCTCTTTTCTTTGTTCTATGTAATTTTTTGCTTATTTCCTCATTATTTTACATATTTTTCTTATTGTCTTCCACTACTGTTGTTTGTCATTCTTTGTGTAATATTTTTAGGTACTGGAATCTTTACTATTGCTTTTACTTTCTCTTTACTTTTCTTTAATCCTTCTATTTTTAAAACTTTGTATAAATTTGCAACATGTTCAGCATCATCTCTCCTTGTTACCACTACATCATCCAAATAATTCACTGCCCCTGCACAACCTTGCAACACATTTTTTACTGTCCGTTAGAAAATTGCACAATCTGTCTTGGTACCATAGGGTAAACTGTTAACTTTAAATATACCATACGGTGTGCTCCACGCAAGAAGTTCTGCTGTTTCTGGTTCCACCTGTAATTGATTGTACGCATTTAAAACATCTAGCTTGCTGAACTGTTTCAATTCTGTTAATGGGGTGGTTAACATTTTGCAAGTATTTATTTATTGTAACTTTGTAGTTAACACAAACTCTGACATCTATTGCATTAGCCTTATACACCGATAGTAACAGTGTTACGCAGTTTGCATTATACACTTGCTTTATCACTTTACTTTCTTTTAATTTTTCAATCTCTAACTACTTTTTCCCTAAATGCAAACGGTATCGGAACTGGTTTCCGAAAAATAGGTGTAGTTCCTTCTTCAATTTATAATTTAATCTTGTATGTCCCTAAATTTGTAAACTTATTTATAATATCTTCTGTAGTAGGTATTTGACAAACTGTATTCAATATCGAGCTAAACATACTTACTTTACTGTCGTCTAAATAGACATTTGGACCCTTCAAACTGAAACCAAAATCATACCAAATATTACGGCCTATTAAACATTTTGTAGCCCCCTTAACAAGGAAAAAAATGCATTCTTTTCCCTATTATTTATTAACAAGTAATCTAATTTATCCTTTTTAAAGTAACTACCGAGCCATGATAAACTTAATGTTATGTGTATATCATTAAGTAATACCTGCATTTTGATTGGCTCTAACAAATTTTCTGAACTAAAAATATCAACATTAAAAAAAAAATCCAATGTCTGGACCTCTGGCTCTTTATTTGCCTGAATACTAAAACTTTTGTCCATTTTTGTTTTGCAAGCCTTAACAATATGCTTTCTTTTTACAGTTCTTACATGTATAACTTTTAAATTTACAATTTTTAAAATCGTGATTGGCTTTATTACAATGAAAACATAGTGCATTATTAGAATTTAACTTCATATTTGTCTTTCTATTCTACTCAGAATTTGCCTTAAAACGTCCTTGCTTCACTTCAGTCGGCCTGCGTACACTGGCATTATTCTCCCCATAGTTGATATCAACCTCTCTAGCTTCCTTCATAATAGCTTCTTTTGACACAGCAATTTCAATCAGCTCTTTTAACTCCTTCCTATTATGGTCTTCTTCGTACAAACGATCTAAAATTGGGCCTTGTATCCCAACAAAAAACTTTTCCTGGACTCTATAGAATAGATTTGTACCAAAGTCGCACTCAGCTGCCACATGTTTAACTTTAATAAACCAATCATTGATTAACTTCTGACCTTGTTTCAATGAATCACTTTATTCATCGTCTATATATAGAAACTCTGGGATTAATTTGTCTAGCCAGTAATTGTATCTTTTCGCTTAGCAGGTGAACGTAAATTTTTCAAAATTTTATAGATATCTTCACTTAAAAGAGCCAACAATACGGCTGAGAACACATGTAAATCTTGATCAAATTCAATAATTTTCCGAGTTTATCGGGATTACTTAATAAATGATCTTAACTTGATGCCTTGTCCTTCTAAAACCATAAATGTAAACTTTATACTGTTATTATTGGTCTGTTCCTAAAAAGACTGATAAATTTCTTGTAGAGCATACGGTCAGAGCGTACCAACTCGGCTTCAAACATTAATTAAATTTGCACACATGTACGACATAAAAGACCGAAGAGACAATTCCTTTATAAAAGTTTGTTTGTGCTCCAAAAACCAAATCAAAGGCAAATGTACAAAACAAACATATTGATAGACATGTGTGTTATTAAAACCTGGCGTGCAGTAACCACTGAGCAAACAAAAGACAATCTCCGGTTGTCGACGGCGGGGTGGTCGGTCGACTTGATTGTTGCCCCATATCGTGCAGTTTACCCTCTAGTTTAGTTTCGTTGAGAGGCCGCCGAAACGGGCGAAGTCATTTTTTACTAAAAATTCCAGTGTGGGATGGACATTAAACCAACGAAAAAAGTTTATTTAAAACATGTACATTTGTATTAAAAATGCTTCCTAAGCCGTTTTAGTTTTGCAAAAAAACACACACACAGTTTAAATAAGACAACATAACAAACTTTTACCAATTATCCCAAAATACACCTCTAAGTGGGGAGATAAGGACAATAAAACAATGGCTGACAGAGGAGGCCTACAGAAAAATATAAGTGGATGGGGGATAATACTGCATGTTAAATACATTGATAGTATTCTTTCTACAAGTTGGTGCGTTTACAAGCGGTAATAAAAACTGCACATACTACAGCAATGTAAGTGCTGTAGAAAAAAATGTATCGGTAAAAAACCTCGTTTTCTATCGATTTTCATTCTTGGTTACATCTTCCCCAAATGTACTTAATTTGATACATTTTTCCTCTCAAGTTACAAAGGTACATAGCGCCCTCTAGCCGGCTTCAAACGATATAAACATATGGATTGCATGTAGGTAGTAATGTTTCTATTACACATGTTTCTAATAATATTTATGTCTCTAGTGTAATTAATTTGAGTCAACGTATCTGAAGTCCTAATGAATTTACCCTTGGGGTCATTTGCTAAACACTAACTAGGCAGCTGCTTACCTTCACACTTTCATATAATAATATTCGTTATGTCAAGATTTTTTTGTAAAGTGTACATAATTTTGTTAGTTTTGCAAGTGATGATTGTGTTGGGTTCTTACAAGTACAAGGTCTGTACAAGTAAAATGTAATGGCATGTCTAGCAAAACTGAAAAAAAAAACAAAATAGCTATATTGATGAAAGGCA